GTAATGTCCCACTAAGGGAAATTGAGCGACTTAAGGGATCCTTGTTAAAAATGTGTCTATATTATGAGCCAATATATTGCAATTAGAAGCCTTAAACTCTGACAATGTTGGTATCAGACACAAAAATACAGAATCGGTCAATATGAATAAAATTAAATTGTTCTTTCAATTTTGTTTTTCCAATTGTGTAGGTAAATGGAATAACTACAAATTTACCAGTTGTCTTGAGTGGAAATGTGTCTATCTTTGCAAGTGGACCTCAAACATTTATCACTGCTGATTTTGGCCTCAGAGTCACCTATGATGGATGGAGTACAGTGTCCATCTCTGTGCCATCAAATTACAGGTATCTGCAAGAGTCTGAGGATCTGAGAGAAGCTGAAAGTGTAGATATGTGAATATAAACCTATGTCTTTAGCCTGGCCTTTAATTTGATTGTTTTATGGCCGTTATATTTGAGTCTCAACGTTTTACTCTTTGCATCCTATACTACAATCACTTTGAATTCTGACAAAAAAATTGTTTGATTGATTAAACCTGATTAATGGCATTGAAGTTATCTCTAATCATTATCTTCATGACAGCGGACAGACATGTGGACTTTGTGGAAACTTCAATGGGAATCAAAGTGATGACTTCCGCACCCCATCTGGAACAATAGTCACCACTCCAGATGTGTTTGGGACAGCTTGGAAGGTTGCAGGCAACTACACCTGCAGTGATGGGTGTGGTTCCTCCTGCCCGCGGTGTACCAACGAGCAACCTGCTAGAGCTCAGTGTGAGGTGATCAAAGCAGCCAGCGGCCCCTTCAGCTTCTGCCATGAGCAGGTGGACCCAGCGCCATATTTCAATGACTGTGTGTTTGATGTTTGTGTGTCGGGAGATGGGGGCCAAGATCTTCTGTGCAGGGCCATTCAAGCGTATGTCAGTGCCTGTCAGTCTGCTAATGTTCGAATCTACCCTTGGAGACAGAACACCACCTGCAGTAAGTCAACTGGTCAATTTGGTGTTGATCAATTATACAAACAGACTAAGAGACAATCAAAGAGGTGTCTTAACCTTCTGCATCTACATACAAGCTTGGTTAACTGTATGAAGTCATTTAGCTTTAACAATTTCTTTCCTCACTTATTAAGGACTGGACTGTCCAGCCAACAGCCATTATGAGCTGTGTGGTACTGACTGTGGCCACACCTGTGCCAGCAGCATTGATGCCACCTGTGAGCAGGTTTGCTCTGAGGGATGTTTCTGTGATGAGGGGTTCCTCAGGAGTGGGACAACATGTGTCCCTGTGGAAAGCTGTGGCTGCCAGTATGATGGCTTCTACTATAATGTAAGTCATTTACCTGGAAATTAATAAAACACCAGATTTGTATAAATATGCTTGTCATTCATCTGATTGTCCCTGTCATATAAATTATACAAAGATTTCAGTCTTTGCACATATTTACCTTTGGTCAAGATCCATTAAGCAGCCTTCTTTCTCACATGCTCCAGGCTGGTGAGTCCTTCTGGACAGATGGTTGCTCCCAGCGATGTGAATGTTATGCTCCCAATGACCTGCGCTGCTCCGCTGCATCTTGCACTTCTGCACAAGAGTGCACCATCAGAAATGGCCGGCTGGGCTGTTTTGCTACTATGTCCACTTGCACTGTGTGGGGGGACCCACACTACATCACCTTTGATGGGGCACTGGCTCATTTCCAGGGCACGTGCTCTTACATCATCACTGAGAGCGTGAGCCACAGCACCAATGAAACCCAGTTTCAAGTAGTAGCCACCAATAATCACCGTGGCAACAACCGCGTGTCGTTTGTATCAGCAGTGGATGTATACCTCTCAAATCAAACAGAGAATGTGCACATAAGGATCGGACCAAACAAAAGAGTAACGGTAAATGCCTCATTACTTTCAAGATGAACAAGTCTCTATATCTGCCTGGTGTAAACCAAGGTAATAACAAGTGCCTCCTCAATATTTGTGCATCTAATCTCTAATCTCTCATCCCACCAGGTAAATGGCAGTGAGGTGTCTCTTCCCACCACCACAGGAACCTTAGCTCGGGTGGAGAGGCAGGGAAGCTACATGGTGGTTGATGCCGTTAACCTGATCGTCCAGTTTGATGGCCGCAGTACCTTACTGGTCAGAATCGACCAACACTGTCAAAACAGAGTCGCTGGGATGTGTGGGAACTTCAACAATGATCCTGCAGATGACAAAGTCTTGCCCAATGGCACACAGGCACAAAATGACAATGAGTTTGGACACAGCTGGAAGGCACCCACAAGCCGACCAGGGTGAGCTGTTATGAAAAATACTCTCTCTACATACAGTAAATATAGTCTTCTTCAGCTTCACATGTTCTCAAATGCACCTTGTATTTCTTCAAAATGTTAAGCAACAGTGTGATGCATTTTCAATTATCCACACCCAAAGGCCCCATGACAACAATACTCATATTACAGAAAGTCAGACAAAGCTGCCCCAATGTTAAACCTATAATGTCTTTTCCAGATGTGGATCCACAGATGAAGACAATGGTGGTGGATTGACTGACTGTACCTACAGGGAAGAATACTCTGCGCTCTGCAGTGTTATCACCAACACCAGTGGCCCATTCAGTGCCTGTCACCTGCACTCTGACCCACAGCCATTTTTCAGCTCCTGTGTCTATGATCTCTGCCTCTACACTCCAGCCAATGGCATGCTCTGTTCTGCCATCTCAGCCTATGAGAGAACCTGCTCAGTTTTGGGGTTAAACATCTCTGAGTGGCGCTCTGCTTTACAATGTGGTATGTGTGCACTGTGCTAATTGATAGCCAAAATAATGAATGAGAAAATAAACCAATAGCTTAACAGAGCTAGCCACTTTTGGAAAAAAGATATTTCCTGTTTCTTGTTTAAGTTTAATCACTTCCTGTCTCAACCTTTCCCCACTATGTCTATAGCTGAGTCTGACCCCTGTGAAGAGTTGAACTGCACAGAGAGTGAGTGGTGTGGTGAGAAGGACGGTGTGTATGGCTGCTTCTGTGATGAACACCACCATCGGCCCCACAATGAGAGCTACGGTGAGGGCAACTCCTCTTAAAACACTGATTTGTTCTTTAGATCATTGAAGTGATGATGCTAATAAAGAAATATTGATTAGTGCATCTTTAAATTATGAGATTAACTATACAAAAACTGCAGAAACAAATTTGAATTTCTATCACTCTTCCATAGACTCGTCCATCACTTGTGTCAGTAGTTCAGGCACCATGTCTCTGTCACGCTGCCAGCTGTTTGAAGCTGGCTTCCACTCTAGCGCCCTCCATCTCCAAGACAACTCCTGTAAAGGCACTCTCCAGGACGGGCGACTGTTGTTCCACTTTAACAATGACGAGCAGCTGTGTGGGACAGTTCTCAGGGTACAGTCCATTACACTATAATGTTATCAGTTCAGATGGAGCAAGATTTTGTATCATGCAAAGATAATCAAGCTTGTCTTTTCAATTTTAAGAGCAATGGAACCCATTTCATCTATGAGAACATGATCCAGGGCGATGTGGACCCTCATGACGGTCTAATCAGCCGCCAAAGGAACATCCATCTGCGTTTCTGCTGTGAATACCCTCTGACTCAGGCCCTGTCTATGTCTGTGGGCATCAATCCTTTAGAGAGGTGACAAAACCATCTCCTCTACATGTTTTATTTAACCAAATACATCACTTAGGTGTTGCTAACTAAATCTAAATTCCCACATTCCTTTTTACATTGAACTTCTTGTAAATTGAATTGTTCCGTCTCAGGTGAAGTCATATATGTGTTTTTTTCACAGCATTGTGAGGAAGAAGCTTCCAAATGGCCATGGACAGTATCACATGAGAATGATCCCCTACCAGGACGCTGGCTTCAGCTCCCCCCTGACCGGTGACAGCAACATAGAAATGGAAATAGACCAGAGGTTGTATGTGGAGGTGCGGACAGAGGGAATTGATGAACGGCAGATCTCCACCATTCTTGACTCTTGTTGGGCCACGCCAATCAACAATGCGAACTACCCTGTCCGCTGGGATCTCATCAGTGCAGAGTAAAGGAGCTACTGCAACTTCACTTTATCTTCACATTGATTTCTTTCTCTTCATTGCCAAAGTATGAAAACAATTTAAAGTACATAACACTCTAACTTCTACCACCCTCCTTGTTTTCCAGGTGTCCTAATCCAGCAGATGATACAGTAGAGCTGGTTCAGAATGGCGTCTCCACTGCGGCCAGATTCTCCTTCAGGATGTTCACCTTTACCAACTTTTCATCCATCTACCTGCACTGCCAGGTCCACCTGTGTCTTCTGTCAAACAACAACTGCACAGCTGTACGTACCACTGTGTGTGTGTGTGTGTGTGTGTGTGTGTGTGTGTGTGTGTGTGTGTGTGTACGTGGTGTGTTCCTTGTGAGTTTGTAGATACATTCATTCAACAGATGCATTGGCAGAAGCCTCTAATGTTGTTTTCCTGCAGCATTGCTACCCGGGTTACCACAGGCGAGTTGGGAGGGATGTATCCTACCATGACACTGCCTCCATCTCACTAGGACCACTACACCTGATCCCAATGAGCGGTGGTAAGCCCCTCCCCTTGTATTTGACATACAGCTTAATCAGTGCATGTTTTTTAAACTTTGGTTCTTCTCTTGCAGGCAAAATGATGGAACGAAGCAGTGCTCCAGGCCAGATGACCTCACTGGTGACCCTGCTGGTCAGTCTGCTATTCAGTTTGCTGACTGCCAAAACTCTGGTCTAAGGAGAACAGAGATGATCCATATTTTTAAACATATTACATGTGCTCTCAGATTAGAGGCGTTGTCCCTGTGATTTGTATTTGTAGTAAGTGATTTTTCTTTACAACAGTGGGGGGCACCAGTGTCCTCCATGCTGAAGTTGAAATCTTTTATCCTTCTATGTTCACTGTGTCTGATGTTTATCAGTTGAATCATTGGTTTCTTTGTGATGATTGTATTAAATCTCTGCCATATAAAAATTAATCATTTATAATGAAATATAAAAGTATAAATGAATTTAAAAGTATCTTTACATATGGAGTATGCATCTAATTTGTTGCCTCGGAAGTTTTGTACACAACCCCAGCCCGAACATTAAGTGGATAAGTATCAGTCAGAAGCAGTTTGTGCATCATACAAAATTAGCCTACAGACTAGTCTGCTCACTCATCTGTTAAAAAGGCTGATCACCTAAACCCACAGCTAGCAATGATTACCTGAATCATACATTTTCAATTTTGTTCTTTAAATTTACTTTTTTCTGCGATACAATACTGCTTACTTTGCTGCTGCATATCAAACTAATTATTGTGCTTAGATGTATCAATCTCAATTAAGTACAAAGTATATTAAGAGTTGAAGCAATGTTCTTTGTCCTGAAGTTGCTCCTGGTGTAGCCTGCAGATGACACCAAGCCTCCTGTCACTGGCTATGGGAACACAGTGGCTGTGATGGAGTATATGCCTGTATGATTGAGTTCAAGTAGATGGCTGAAGACGCAGAAGTCACACTCTAGGCAAACAATAGTCACTTGAATTTGATTTGGAGGTCCAAGGGTAGCCAGTGGAGGACAATGAGCAATGGAGTAATATGCGCCCTTTTAGTCCGATCAAAGACAAGATGTGCCTACGCATTCTGGACTGTATATAAAGGGTTCACTGTGTGTGAAGGAAGGCTGACCAGAAGGACATGACAGTTGTCGAGGCGAGAGCTAACCATGGCCTGTACCAAGAGTTGGGTGACGTATTGAGTTAGTTAGCAAGGCCTGACTTTTCTTGCGTTGTAAAGTGCAAAACTAGGAGACAGAAGCAACATGCTCAGAGAAGGATAGCTGGTCATCAAACGTGACACTCAGGATTCTTTGGACCTTGGGGTGAGGGATGAAGAGGCAATTTTGATACTGATACCTTTTCTGATTATATAGTGATTCAATTACCTTAATTTATTTTGCAAATAAAGCACAATCCTGAAGTCTTATTTCATCCAGTTGGCTTGTTTCATGAAATGTTGTGATATAGTAATCCTCTCTGTGTAGGGCCAGAATAAAGACTTCCCACCTTTGTCTTATGTGACAGATATACATGTAATTAAAAAGGAGAAGCTTTTTGTGCCACTGGCAGCCACTTAAACTTTGTCATCTTACATAACTGTTAATTAAACAAAAGGTAGGTGAGGTAAATCATAATACTCACACCCTTTTAGCAACCCCAGGAAGTCACACAAGAATTACAACTCCTGATAAATCAAGACAATAAACATGAGAATCATTTCTAGTGACTGAGGTATAAAAAAAATCCTTTGGTGCACTTTATCAGTCACATTAACACATTATTTTGTGTTTGATTGAAGTTGAAGATAAAGATGAAGCATGAATCCAGTAGAGGTGATTTAATTCAATCATGTGCAGCGTTTTTTTCGGGGTCCTACATTCTAGGATTAACGTGCACCTGGAAAATCCTCCCCCTGCCTAAACTCTGATTTACGATAAAGATGATTAAAAGACAGGACAAAGTTAGAGACCGATCTGTTGTCTCTTGGAGTGCCAATGGACATAAAGCTGTGCATCACTCAGCAACAAGCAAATATTTTGATTGACCCGATGGTTCCTGATAAAACTGACCCATTTTTACAATTTTAAAGTAAAAAATTAATTCTACATATTCTATGAACCAAAATCTGTGTATTCACATAGTGGCTGATGGGAGATAGAAATGAACAGACCCCTCCCAGCATCTCCATCAAAGTCACAGTAACAGAAACAGAAAAGACTGCATGCCCAGCTGATGATTATCCCGCTTCTAATTAACATTCCTCTGCATATGCTGAGGACACCAAGCACATCTATTAACCAACAACAATTATAAAGTGTGTGGCACACCTGTCACCTGTTCCGTGAGTTATGTAATACAATGGTTTCTGATATAACGTAAAAGTCCCTTCCTATGAAATCATGTTTTCTATTTTATGTGTATTTATTATTATAGTATTATATTATGTTCACACAGTTATATGTCACAGAACGCACCATAATTTAATTATATGTAACACAGAAATTACTTAAAGCTTAGTTACTAAGTGTGTAAGTGTAATGCAGTGTAGAGATGAAGTTTGAAGACCATATACAGTCAGAATTTCCCACCCATTTGACACTACTTCTGTCACTATGGCACGGTGATGATGCATAAACATGTTATTGTTGTAATGAAACTTACCAATATCTGAAACATTCAGAAACACTCTGCTACTAAAACATAAGTTAGTTTCTGCTCACATAAAACAAAAATGATCCAGCTAAAACTAACACAGTCTAATACAATAGCCCTGCAGTAACATCTCCCTTCATGAAGGTTAAAATGTTCTGTTTTGGTTGAAACTGTCTTAGGGAGGTGTTCATTCAACTGTATGATTAATAGGAGGGTGTGGTTTTATTGTTCTATTAATGATCGTAGGGTAATTCACAGAGACACCTCTTTGTGGTATGTGTTCATACAGTATCTTTGTCTTTGTACATACCAGGATCAAAAATGAAGCCAAAGCACAAAGTAACACAACAGCTGGCTGAAATTTGAAGAGGACAGGCAGCTCTCCAACACAGGCGCTTGAGATACTAAAAAGATAGCAAGTAACCAAATACTGTTGGAAGATGATATGTACAGTTCTGTAATCAGCAGATAGGGAGCTGTCAGAGAGTCATACATTTTCATTGGTAACCAAAATGGTTAACAAGGGGCTCCTGAATTAGAGTCCAGACTTGTAATTTGCCTGAATAGACAGACCATCCCTTATTTGTTCTTGATAGCACCATATGTATAGTTCACCTTCAGAGCCCCTGAAGTCCAGAAAGCTTGGAAATATTCTCTTTTTTTCTGTAGGATTAGTTTATATTTGTATATATACATTATCCATCATACAGTGTTCATATCCAGATGTGTGTGCAATGTATGTGCTTATTTTACAGTATGCACAAGACTATGTAGGGTATAGACATTAACTTGTATGTGTATTATTTCTTCTTTATTAAAAAATGTAGAAAAGAAAATTCAAACTTTTGATGTACCAGTGAGAGAGTTTTCACACCCACACCATTAGTTTTAGAAATAATAAAGTAGAAGGTCTCACAAGGAACGGGCTTACTCAAGCCTTCAGATTCTGCATTGGACACTTTTTAAGCAGCTGATGTGGATTTGGATCCTGCCTATAAATTAGGATGCAACACACATTCACTGGTTGCAGGTTGTAGTGTCTGGCTACAAGTACCAGAAAACATTTGAGCAGGCTAAACACAAAAATCTGGGCCCTTTTCCCCTTTTAATACATCCACTGTCACACCCATAAAAAACACTGAAAAGTGTAAACAAATGCATCTGTAATGGTTATTAGGCTTATCAGTAACAAAGTTACTGTGTTTTCACTTCGAGGTTTAACATTATTTAAGGTCTTCACTAGAGATACCCTGGAAATACATCTTACGCTGGTCTTAACACAAGAGTTAACAGTTGAACTCCTCTGATGCTGCTGAAGGCTTATTTCGATTAAATAAAATGACAAGGCTTTGTTCCAGGCTTGCCATGTTGGGGCCCTGCTAACTTAGTTCCACTACTCCCCCGTCACCATGACCCTGACCATTAGTAACATGTAATATGTCCTACACATGCAATAGAGAGCAGGCAGACAAACAGATTGGCAGGAAGGTGGAGGTAATGGGTGGCAGAGGCAAGAAAAGTGGGCGACTAGTGGACGAGAGACTAAATAAAAAAGGTCTCTGAAACGCAAACATCATATGAGAAGATTTAATCCCAGTTGGCAAAGGCACAGCAGTTTTAATTAGTGGTGGTGTCTGAAATGAAAATCCCTCAATGTAATCGTGTATCAACTAGACACAGTCGCTTGCTGCAATATAATCTTGTTTTTTCCACGTGCCTATCTCTTAAGCTCCCTCACTTGGGGAAATGACTTGGTATCAGTCTAAACATGGGAATCCACTCTTTTCTGGTTGCGTGCCATGCCTCAAACACTTGTTGCTAGCAAGCCGCAATCCCTGGGGCTAAAAGATGATGCCAAAGTGCAGTATAACTCCCCCCTTTATATTTTATCAAAGCTTAAAATAATTGAGGGCGTGGATGCTTTGAGTGACAGGTGGGTGCCATCACAGTTGCCTAGCTACCCAGTGTGTAGATTCTAGATGTGTGCTAGGTATCACCTCAGCTAATACTAAGTCATTGAATATGAGTTCCCTGACGTATTTGTGGTGTTGGTAATTCTAGAGATTTTTTATGCAAATATCAGGCAAATAAAATTGCTTGTTGTGCAGTTACTTGACTAAGATAATGTTAGGAAGTCTGTGCTCCTGTCTTTTGAGGTGAGTGAAATTCGAATATTATTTTATTTATATTTCAGGACTAATTAGCAGGTATCTGTGTCTGTCCTCATTACACCTGGCTTCTTAGCTTAGCTTGTTAACTAGCTAATTAGCCAGCAAATGAATTAACCTTGGGTTAGCCTTCAAGCAAGATCCCAAGACACTGAGCTATGCTAACAATGCTAATGGGAGTGTATGTTTGCTTAGGGTAAGGCATCAAGTAAAAATGAGACCAGCCCAAAAACATTACAAAAGTTCTACGCTCAAAACATCCCTCCATATTCTATAGAATGAATTCTTAGCATGGATAAAAAAGATGATAACTCATAATTACATTGTGTTACATAGTACTAATATATTATACTACTATCTCATATATCTCGTATATATGTGCCATCTGTACAGAACCATTATCTATAGATATTATATAAGATGTTATGTAAAGATGTTTATAGCCATGCAAAATAGTTTCATAATTGTTCAAGCTTTCAGTTTGAAAAGCTGATCAATTTGGGTACAGTGTATCATGCCAGGATTGAAGAAATAGTATGGCATTAATTATCATACATGCTGTACATGCTGTGTCATAGTAGGTAATACATCAGGGTATTCAACCAACATATTTGCATATGGGAAGAAAGCACGAGAAGAAAAAAATGTGCATTGCTGTGACAAACAAACTTGAGTTACCACCTCATGGTTGTATGCTACTGCCAACCAGGTCAGATTACCCGGTTTCATACATTTTGCCCATTAATGGGAGTTGTTCCTTTTCCAAGTAGAGGGTCTGAGGATAAAGGATGCCGTTTGTGTCTACAACTTGTGAAGCCTCTTGAGGCAGACTTTTTATTTCTGATATAGGGATATATAAATAATTTGATTTGACTGGACTTTGCTAAGCTTTGTTGTTCTTGTTCTGCTGTATGTCTGCTGTATTAGTGTGTAAGTTCATTGAGAAAAACAAAAACAAAATACAATTCCTTGTATGTCTTTATATGCTTGGCCATGACCATGGCCATGGAGAAGGACTTTTGGTTGGCCTCAAGGAGATTGTGGCAAACCATTCTGTTTCTCAGGATGGAGAAGCAGGGCTTAGCCCAGGCTGTTTTCAGCAGGGTAGGAGAACTTCTAACTCGGACTGGGGATAATGCCGGCTGGTGGAAGGAGCATTTTCAGGAACTCCTGAACCCAACCAACATGTCCTCTGAGGAGGAGGAGGCAGAGTCTGAAGATTAAGTGGAAGCCTTGTCCATATCCTTGGCAGACGTCTCTGTACCTCAGAAACACATTTGAAAATGTCGTTACCAACATTGCTGCAAATTAACCATTAATTAATACTATTCCAATTCATTGTGCAATATCTACATATTGAGACAACTAACAGCAGCATACAGGAACATTAATTCTATCATTTGTGGCGGCAACATAAAAACAACTGTAAGTGCTGATGCACTCTCAATGCAAATAACAACAACTCATACCTCATAACTCATAACATGATTCCTCCCGGTAATGCCGCTTTGAACTATACAACATCAGAAAAATTATCTCCATCAGCTACTGCAATGCCCTTCTGGCAGGCCTCCCTTTATTCACATTGAAAGCCTTGCAGATTGTCCAGAATGCAACAGCCCGTCTGGTCTTCAATCAGGCTAAAAGGACACGTACGACTCCGCAGCTCATCAACCTACACTGGCTACCCGTGGTCACCCAAATCAAATTCAAGTCACTAATGCTTCCCTTTAGAGTGACATCTGGGTCTGCACCCATCTACTTGAACTCATCATGCTCTTTCTTGGCCACTGCGTTCCTCCAAGGAATGTCATCTCTGCACACAAGGTCATAACAGTCCAGACAGATCTATTTGTGTTTCCCCAATGGTAGAACAAGATACTGAATGCTATCAGAACAGGGGCGTCCCTGACTATCTTCAAGAATCTCCTGAAAACTCATCTCTTCTAAGAGCACCTCATCTCCTAACACCTTTATCGCCCTAACATGCCTTATTAGCATTTACTATACACTTTCGGTGAACTTCTTTACTTGATCTCCTTCCACTTATTAAATAGATGTAGTATTTAGTACTTACGTCGAGGTCTCCTTCTACACTTAAGCCTTAGTGATGTCCCTCACTTGTAAGTTGCTTTGGATAAATGCCTAACTGTCCGTTTTGTTACAGAAACTCTGAGTTTGCTGTTGATCTGTGTTCATCAGAAGCTCAAGCTTCAATTGTTTTTATGTTTTATCTTTCAAGTACCTACAAGTTTGTTGTAATTACATTTTTTTTCCATTGATAAAGATTTTGACTGAGAAAACCTGGGCCAACTACCAATACTGGTTTTACTTGCCTCTACAGTACAGTCAGGAAATGAAAAAACCAACACCCTGCCTTAAATCTGGATACATTAGAAGAGAAACTCTGAAAATCTCACTGCTTATTATCTGTCAGTCCATTTACTGTGTTGCTTACATATCTTCATCTATTAGGATGCAGTTTGTTCTCCCGTCTTACTCTGTGAGTAAGTAATGCTGTTAATCATTTAAATGTGGACAGTAATTGTAAGATGAACAACAAATTCTGTTTCCTAATTGCAATATTAGGACATGAAAGGAGAAGTCTATCACTCTTAAATCTTTATTGGGATATGTGTTATCAAGATTTAACTATGAGTTTTCCTCTCAGGTTTATATAGAGTTGCCAATCGACTAACTTTTAGCATTGTAATAGGACAATTGCCAGTACATCCCATTCTAATTGTATCTGGCTGGCTGTCAATAAGCACCCACAAGTCTTGAATAGTCACATCATTGTCATGCTGGTACACCACTCCTTCATCTGCCTCTCCTTCCCTGTCCCATGCCCCATTCCTCCACCAAGTTCAAAACTAATCAGTTCAGTACTTTTGCATAATTCTGAAGAAGAGAGGAATCTTAGAGATAGATATGTCAAAACATGAGCAAATAAAACTGAAACTATCTAGATCCCACTAAACATAAGTGAGAGAATATGTTCTTTTGTAATCAAAGCAAACCAGCCCTTTATGAGATACCCTGAAAACGAACAAACACACGGGACTGAAAACAATAACTTACAAGAGCAGGTGATATGTTCTCAGAAATTAAGACTAAAGTGTATAGTATTTCAAAAATCAAGTTCATATTTTGGTTTTGTTATCTTACTGTATTTCTTAGGAAAACACTATAGATTTTTTTCAACAACTCAAGCCTTTGTTAGAAAATTACATCCTTGTTTTGTTTTCGACTGAACACAGCGTGTTAATCTTCATTATTCTCTATGAACAATGGAATGTTTGGTTCACATGTTAATTGGCCAAACTACAGGTTTATGGGACTGTGCCAGCTATCACCATATAAAGCCTTGTTACAGGTCGGCTGTTTCACTTTGACGAAGAGAACAAAAGCATCACATATGAGCAGGTAATTCATTAATTTATTACCAAGAGAGGCACTATTTCCAAACTGCTGTGTTTTGTAATGATCTGCACTCTGCAATTACAATGAATTTAATCTAAAAAGGAATGTTTTGATTTAACAGATAACTTCATATTAGACATTGTCGAAATTTTATTTTTATTACCATTATTACCTCGGAAACAGTTTGGCAGTTAGCAGGAACTGAGTTTAAAATATAACTTGAAAAATAACGTTATGAACCAAAGAACAAGTGATTTGTTTTTTGGTGCAGATCTGGATCACGTGGATCTAGGGCTTTTTAAAAGGACTTTTTAATATTGCATGATATAGTTGCACTTCAATGTACTTGCATGAATAAAAATGTTGCATGTGTACGCTAATATTCTGTACTACGGATATGTAATACATATCTTGATCATCATGCATTTAAATCCTTTGCCATTAAAAACCTTATGACACATTTACAGGGCTTCAAGTTTGAATTTTGAGCTTTTGAAAATGGGATGTCCAATCATCTTGCCTATGCTATTTCTGGGGATGTTAAGTAAGTATTTAATTAAATCAAATCCAATTAAATTCACTTTTATTTCAGTGAGACAGCACAGAACAATATTAAGACCCTGGAACTAGCTTACCTACATTGAATTCAGCCATTTCTAATGTTTTCAATCATGTTTGTGCCATTTATGCTATGACACTCCAAAACGTTAATGAAATAAAATCCAGTTGAATTCCCTTTTATTTCTGTTGATGTATTTACATAACTGACCTTTGTTCCTTTATGTCAAAAGTCGATGATTTTTGTCCAATTATATTTATGAATTCTCTTACACAGGAATAGTGACTCCTCAGACTACAAGTAAGTTGACGCTTTGATAACTTCTTAGTTTTTGTTTGTTCATAATCTTGACAGGCCAGTCTTCATGTCAAAATCAGAAGCTTAAAGCAGTTATAACACCAGGATTTTGTAAGCTGCATATAATAGCGGATTTAAAATATGTATACAGTACACAGATTTGACACGCAATACGCAGATGTGAAAAACCTAACAGAATATAATTACTATGAAGTGACAGCACAATGTAAGGTGTTGTATATGAATTCTGTCATAATAGCTTCCAATTTACATCCCCTGATAGTGTTAAATTCCACTTACTTAACATTGATGTAACACAGTAAAAGCTAAGGGTGTGGAGTTTGTGGAGATACCACACTTTGAAACTAGAGGTAGTAGTTTCCTTTGCAGTAAACCAAAGATTCTACAGTGTTTTACTGCCTCCTCTGGTTGCACCTGGGATGTGGTCTCAAATGTGCTCTGCTGCACTTGTCACCACACCCAACCATGCTGTCATGGCATACCAACACACTGTACAGTACACTCAGCCAAAACTAGATCTTCAGGGTGTGTTAAATAGCTTTTTGACATGGGCCTTTTTCGTGGCAGACATTTTGACCTGTGATAAAAGACAAACCAGAGGTGAAACAAATTTTGTTAACAATGTCTCAGCTCCATGACATGTCCCACTAAGACATTAAAGTGAGATGGGATGCACAATATCAAGACCCTGGAACTAGCTTACCTACGTACATTGAATGCAGTCATTTCTAATCTTTTCAATCATATCTGTGCTTTTTTATGCTATGGCACTCCAAAATGTTAATAAAATCAAATCCAGTTGAATTCCCTTTTATTTCTGTTGACGTATTTACATAAATTCACTAACTGACTTTTGTTTATTTATGTCAAAAGTCTATGATTTTTGTCCAATTATATTTATGAACTCTCTTACACAGGTACGGTGACTCCTCAGACTCCACGTAAGTTGACGCTTCGATAACTTCTTAGTTTTTGTTTGTTCATAATCTTCACAGGCCAGTCATACAATCATGTCAAAATCAGAAGCTCAAGGCAGTTATTACACTGGGATTTTGTTAGCTGCTGTTAGCTGCAGATTGTCTCAGGTCAAATTCAAATTAATTTGTCTTATTTTCAAGATTTGAAATATGCATACAGTACACAGTACTCATTAAGCACATGTGAAAAAAAACATAACAGAGTATAGTTGCTATAAACTGACAGTACAACATAAAATGTTATAAATGAATTCTGTCTTGATACTTTAGAATTTTTATACCCTGTTAAATGCCACTTACTTAACTTTGTTGTAGCACATTAAAAGCACAGGGGGGGTGAGTTTGTGGAGGTACCACACTTTGACACCAGAGGCAGTAATTTCCTTTGCTTGAATGTCTGCTGGAAAAAAGATCTGTTGTGGTTGGCCAGTATGCTGGATTGAAAGAGTCATTAAAAACACAAAAAACATGTTTTTGTATATGGGATCAAACATGGATATTACTTGTTAGGTGTGATGATCTAGGAATGTTATATAATAATAAGTTCCAATATCGATGGTCACTTTATTTTTTCAGTTGTATAGTCTTTTTTTTCTTTTTTTCTTTTTTTTAATGCAACACTTTTGTTCTTTCTAGGACCCCTCTATCCAATTTCTGGCACAACAAGCTCTCGATCAGACGATGGAAGTTCTCCACGGATTGTCCTGCAGAGACCTTTTGTTTACTTCGGACGCTCATACAATCAAATTTATGTATGTAAAAATTGTTTTATCAGACTGCAACATCCATATATTTTTTATACTTTTCTGGTATGTTTTGTGAAGGAATCACATCCACTGGTTAGCAAATCACTTCCAACACAAGAACTCTGTTTTAAATATGCAAGAATAAATAAATGAAACAAATTAGAGAAGCAAAGAATATTTTGTGAAACATTAAATTCTTTATATTACCTTCAACTTTGACTAAATGTTTCAAATATTAAAGGAGTACTGGAGTTAGTTGTTGTCAAAATATTGTTACATCCATAACAATGTTATTCTTTAAAATACTATAGCAATAAATACGTTGATATTTGATTACATGCAATTGTCATAGACTGTCATTGTCATTTACTTATTCTTTTTAAGTAAGAACTGGTTTATGTGTTTCCAGGTGAACCACAATGGACACCTGACCTTTAATGCTTCATGGTCCAGATACATACCTCTGCGGTTTCCAAATCATGGATCCAGAGACATCATTGCCCCATTCTGGACAGATCTGGACAACAGAGGAAATGGTCAGGTCATCTACAACCAATACACCAACGGCAATGTCCTTCAACAAGCTACACAGGACATTAATGCCTACTTCCCAGGACTGCACTTTAATGCCAACTGGGTCTTTGTTGCAACATGGTATCAGGTGGCTTACTATCCAATCACTAACACAGTAAGTCAGCTTATGGGGAAATACATATTTGTGTATGTGTGAGATTGCTTATTTGCTATCTTTACTATAAAAAATCATAAGTCAATTTTTTTCAGCAAACAACCGTCCAAGCTGTCTTGATTTCTGGTGGCCACTACTCATTTGTGCTGATGAACTATGGGATAATAGCTGCAACAACTCGCAATATACAGGTGAGAGCCTACAAAGAACCAAATTGTAAAAGGTGTTTTAAAGTGTCCAAGCTGTATTCAAAACTGAATGGTGCAATGCCAATGTTCAAAGACAAAAAACATATATTTCTATGTGACATGTATTTCCAGGCTGGCTATGACACAATCGGTTCTGCTCACCATTTCACCATCCCGGGATCTTTCGCTAGTAATGCAACAGGCAATAACTCAGTTTTCCGCCTGAGCAGCAATGTCAATGTACCCGGTCGCTGGGCGTTCCGCACCGACAATGGATCAAGAGGCTGCACTTACAATGGTAAGAGCAGAACCAAGGGTGATCACTATAGATACTTTTTTTCTTACACTAATGTGGATATGTGATCAGTGAAAAAGATACGTCTGTCCTTATTGTTGAGCTATTGATTAATGTTTTATATGTTGCACATAGCCGACCATACTGTGCACTGAAAAGTTATTACATAGAAATATCCTGATATAAAGATAATCTAAGTAGAAAGTACAATTAAAAAATGTAGAAATGTATTGTTATTTGTATTGGTATGTCAAAGCAGTAATCAAAATTCAAAAGTAGGGCATCTGTCCTACAAGATCAAGCATGAGCATGGACATCCCTGTTACAAGACAGCTGGGGATTTTTCTTCCACTCATTTTTTGTCACCAGTCTACTGTTTGCTCTAAAAGTCATGGTAAAAATGTCCTGACAACCTAAAAGAGTCAAATGGTTAAAATACTAATAGTATTTATGTTTTGAAGTTAAGGCCTTCCAAACAACCTTTCTATTTATTTTCTTCAAAGGTGAATCCATGCAGCTGGGTGACTCGTTCTGGAGGGACAGTGCATGTACAGAGAAGTGCACCTGCACCTCAGCAGGTCTGCAGTGTGTCAGTCAACGCTGCTCCTTTTCCCAAGTCTGCAGACCAAGTACCTTTCAGTTCACCTGCCAGACGGTGCCAAGAGGCACCTGCACCATAAGTGGTGATCCACATTACTATACCTTTGATGGCACACTGTTTCACTTTCAGGGCACCTGCACCTACGTTCTCTCAGAACAGTGTGGTCGTGGGCTGCCCTACTATCGTGTAGAGGGTAAGAACGAGCACCGGGGCAGCACTCGTTTATCCTGGACAAGACTGGTCAAAGTGTATGTCTATAATGAAACTATCGAGCTTGTCAAAGGACGACGCAGTGAGGCTAAGGTTAGCAACGAGAACTTCACTTATTCATAATAAGTTATATACAGTATATACCTGTTATATTTTTATGTAGTTAATACTTTTTACAACAATGTCTTTGCCTGTTTCTGTTCTGATAGGTTAATGGAAACTTTGCAGCCACTCCGTTCTCCCTTCACAATGGCACCATCCAAGTTTATGAGTCAGGTTTTTCTGTGGTCATCAGTACTGACTTTGGCCTGGTAGTTTCTTACGACACAGATTATTATGCCAGGATCAGTTTGCCCCGCACTTACCAGAATGCAACATGTGGCCTGTGTGGAAACTTCAACCACCACCCTGGGGACGACTTTCAAACGCCCCAAGGCGAGGTTGTGAGCTCTGATGTAGTTTTTGCCAACAGTTGGAAAGTATCAGGGGACGATGAGCCTGGATGTGACGAGCCAACCACCACCCTGGGGACGACTTTCAAACGCCCCAAGGCGAGGTTGTGAGCTCTGATGTAGTTTTTGCCAACAGTTGGAAAGTATCAGGGGACGATGAGCCTGGATGTGACGAGCAGTGTGGAGGTCTGGACTGTGTTAACTGCACTGCCAGTCAGACAGCTTTATACAGCAATGTGGACCATTGTGGTATCCTCCAGAGCAGTTCTGGACCCTTTGCTGCTTGCCATCCACGAATTCTTCCACTAAACTTTCTGCAGAGTTGTGTGTATGATCTGTGCGCAGGAGGAGGCTATCAGCCCATTCTGTGCCAAGCCCTAAATGTTTATGCAAGTCAGTGTCAGCAGACTGGTCTCCAGCTGCCAAGCTGGAGGAGACGTGACTTCTGTGGTAAGTCTGTCAGTCATTCAACACTATTTCATAATATAATTTCAAAATGTCCTTGATGTCAGTATCAATGTTGTTTGCTTGTACCTAGAAATCCCCTGTCCAGCCAACAGCCACTTTGAGTCCCAAGGCACAGGATGTCCAGCTACCTGTGTCAATCCCAATTCCACCCAAAACTGCCCTCTCCCTGCCCAGGAGAGCTGCATCTGCAATTCAGGCTACATCCTCAGTGCTGGGGTCTGTGTCCCTCATGCTGAGTGTGGCTGCAGCTTTGAAGGTCGTTACTACCGCTCTGGAGAAACTGTAATACTAGACGAGAACTGCGGGAGACGTTGTAGCTGCAGTTATGGCTCCATGACCTGTCACTCACATGGTTGTGGTCCACTGGAATCATGCAGGGTGGAGGAGGGAGAAAGAGGATGCAGACCTAACAGCTATGAAACATGCTGGATAAAGGGCCTGGGGTCATATCATACGTTTGATGGACTGACATTCCAGTATCCTGGGGCATGTCGATTGACTCTTGCCAAAGTGATGGGATTGTCTCATCACCCCCACTTTGCAGTGACAGCAGAGAAAGTGCCTAGAGGCCAAAATGGTTTTGCCAGGTTGCTAAAGTTTGAGGCAGAGGGAACACAAGTCTCCATTGAGATGGCAGATAACAGCACAGTTCAGGTAAGCGACTTTGGTTTTGATGATGATTTAGACATTTTGTATATGAATATTGAAAATCTTGTCACCCTGAAAATCTGACACTAGCTGTTGAAATGGTCTTTAGGTTGACAGTCAGCGGATCAGACTACCATTCAGCTCAGCATCCAACCGAATCCAAGTCTACCACAGCAGCATTCACAGTATCATCCTTCACACCGCCTTTGGTGTGACTGTGCAGACAGTTTGGCCTCACTTTGTACGTATCACTGCACCCGGTATCTACAATGGTTCACTGGGTGGACTCTGTGGAAACTACAATGGTAACTCACATGACGACTTCCGCACACCCAATGGCCTCCTGGTCAACACCTCTCAGGTGTTTGGAGACAGCTGGCGAGATGGCTCCCTCGCTGCACACTGTGTGGAAAGTGTAAATGAAAATTCTACGACAAATTCCAATTCCAGTGAGCGCTGTGGCATTATTGCCTCACCGAATGGGCCATTTACCCAGTGTTGGGCCATGGTGGACCCACAGCAGCATGTGAGTGCATGCATGGAGACCATTAGAGTCTCTAGAGATCCAGCATCAGCACTATGTGAGGTCCTACGTGATTATGCTCTAATGTGTCAACAGAAGGGCGTAGCCGTGGGACACTGGAGGAACATAACTGGCTGTGGTAAGAACTTTCCCTTCTTTTAGATGAAGTTTGGATATGGTATAAAGCTATGTAATGACCTTACTTTATCAACCTGTATGTTCTTCTTTAGAGCACACCTGCCCAACAAACAGCCATTATGAACTCTGTGGAAGCACTTGTCCCTCCACCTGCCCCAGCCTTTCCTTTCCCTTCTCCTGTAACACTCTGTGCCAGGATGGATGCCAGTGTGATGATGGTTTTGTCCTCAATGGCAACCAGTGCGTGCCACCAACATCTTGTGGATGCCATCATGAAGGACGCTATCGGCAAGGTGGCCAAGAGTTTTGGAATGGTGAAGAATGCCAGAGCTTCTGTACCTGCAACGGCACAACAGGGACAGTCCACTGTAATCCCAGCTCCTGTGGTCCCCAGGAGTCCTGCCGTGTGGTAGGGGGTGAATTTGGATGTCATCCAAACCCTCATGGCACCTGCTCTGCCTCTGGAGACCCCCACTACCTCACATTTGATCAAAAGGCTTATGACTTCCAGGGAACCTGCCGCTATGTTCTGGCGACCCTTTGTAATGACACTAATGGACTCCCCCACTTTTCAGTGGAAGCTAAGAATGAGCCGTGGGTTGGGTTGACAGTCTCAATCACGGCTGAAGTTTTTGTGAATGTGTTGGGATACCGAGTGCGTGTGTCAAGGGACAACAGAGGTATGGTAGAGGTGAGCTGAACCATTTCTAAACCATTACTGATATTTTTCATCTTAGGAACAAATATCTTTATGTAAAAACCCAGAATATAGGGCTTTGTTATCTTATTGTAAATATATCAGCATTTAACACGAAATTGCAGTAGACTAATGCTTAACACATGTCTGTAGTAGTTAAGAAACAGTGATGCCATTATTAGCTTGATTACTAGACAGCACTGGTAAGTAAAGTAATGTCCCACTAAGGGAAATTGAGCGACTTAAGGGATCCTTGTTAAAAATGTGTCTATATTATGAGCCAATATATTGCAATTAGAAGCCTTAAACTCTGACAATGTTGGTATCAGACACAAAAATACAGAATCGGTCAATATGAATAAAATTAAATTGTTCTTTCAATTTTGTTTTTCCAATTGTGTAGGTAAATGGAATAACTACAAATTTACCAGTTGTCTTGAGTGGAAATGTGTCTATCTTTGCAAGTGGACCTCAAACATTTATCACTGCTGATTTTGGCCTCAGAGTCACCTATGATGGATGGAGTACAGTGTCCATCTCTGTGCCATCAAATTACAGGTATCTGCAAGAGTCTGAGGATCTGAGAGAAGCTGAAAGTGTAGATATGTGAATATAAACCTATGTCTTTAGCCTGGCCTTTAATTTGATTGTTTTATGGCCGTTATATTTGAGTCTCAACGTTTTACTCTTTGCATCCTATACTACAATCACTTTGAATTCTGACAAAAAAATTGTTTGATTGATTAAACCTGATTAATGGCATTGAAGTTATCTCTAATCATTATCTTCATGACAGCGGACAGACATGTGGACTTTGTGGAAACTTCAATGGGAATCAAAGTGATGACTTCCGCACCCCATCTGGAACAATAGTCACCACTCCAGATGTGTTTGGGACAGCTTGGAAGGTTGCAGGCAACTACACCTGCAGTGATGGGTGTGGTTCCTCCTGCCCGCGGTGTACCAACGAGCAACCTGCTAGAGCTCAGTGTGAGGTGATCAAAGCAGCCAGCGGCCCCTTCAGCTTCTGCCATGAGCAGGTGGACCCAGCGCCATATTTCAATGACTGTGTGTTTGATGTTTGTGTGTCGGGAGATGGGGGCCAAGATCTTCTGTGCAGGGCCATTCAAGCGTATGTCAGTGCCTGTCAGTCTGCTAATGTTCGAATCTACCCTTGGAGACAGAACACCACCTGCAGTAAGTCAACTGGTCAATTTGGTGTTGATCAATTATACAAACAGACTAAGAGACAATCAAAGAGGTGTCTTAACCTTCTGCATCTACATACAAGCTTGGTTAACTGTATGAAGTCATTTAGCTTTAACAATTTCTTTCCTCACTTATTAAGGACTGGACTGTCCAGCCAACAGCCATTATGAGCTGTGTGGTACTGACTGTGGCCACACCTGTGCCAGCAGCATTGATGCCACCTGTGAGCAGGTTTGCTCTGAGGGATGTTTCTGTGATGAGGGGTTCCTCAGGAGTGGGACAACATGTGTCCCTGTGGAAAGCTGTGGCTGCCAGTATGATGGCTTCTACTATAATGTAAGTCATTTACCTGGAAATTAATAAAACACCAGATTTGTATAAATATGCTTGTCATTCATCTGATTGTCCCTGTCATATAAATTATACAAAGATTTCAGTCTTTGCACATATTTACCTTTGGTCAAGATCCATTAAGCAGCCTTCTTTCTCACATGCTCCAGGCTGGTGAGTCCTTCTGGACAGATGGTTGCTCCCAGCGATGTGAATGTTATGCTCCCAATGACCTGCGCTGCTCCGCTGCATCTTGCACTTCTGCACAAGAGTGCACCATCAGAAATGGCCGGCTGGGCTGTTTTGCTACTATGTCCACTTGCACTGTGTGGGGGGACCCACACTACATCACCTTTGATGGGGCACTGGCTCATTTCCAGGGCACGTGCTCTTACATCATCACTGAGAGCGTGAGCCACAGCACCAATGAAACCCAGTTTCAAGTAGTAGCCACCAATAATCACCGTGGCAACAACCGCGTGTCGTTTGTATCAGCAGTGGATGTATACCTCTCAAATCAAACAGAGAATGTGCACATAAGGATCGGACCAAACAAAAGAGTAACGGTAAATGCCTCATTACTTTCAAGATGAACAAGTCTCTATATCTGCCTGGTGTAAACCAAGGTAATAACAAGTGCCTCCTCAATATTTGTGCATCTAATCTCTAATCTCTCATCCCACCAGGTAAATGGCAGTGAGGTGTCTCTTCCCACCACCACAGGAACCTTAGCTCGGGTGGAGAGGCAGGGAAGCTACATGGTGGTTGATGCCGTTAACCTGATCGTCCAGTTTGATGGCCGCAGTACCTTACTGGTCAGAATCGACCAACACTGTCAAAACAGAGTCGCTGGGATGTGTGGGAACTTCAACAATGATCCTGCAGATGACAAAGTCTTGCCCAATGGCACACAGGCACAAAATGACAATGAGTTTGGACACAGCTGGAAGGCACCCACAAGCCGACCAGGGTGAGCTGTTATGAAAAATACTCTCTCTACATACAGTAAATATAGTCTTCTTCAGCTTCACATGTTCTCAAATGTTGCGAACCAAGGCCAAATGGTTTTGCCAGGTTGCTAAAGTTTGAGGCAGAGGAAACACAGTCTCCATTGAGATGGCAATAACAGCACAGTTCAGGTAAGCGACTTTGGTTTTGATGATGATTTAGACATTTTGTATATGAATTATTGAAAATCTTGTCACCCTGAAAATCTGACACTAGCTGTTGAAATGGTCTTTAGGTGACAGTCAGCGGATCAGACTACCATTCAAGCTCAGCATCCAACCGAATCCAAGTCTACCACAGCAGCATTCACAGTATCATCCTTCACACCGCCTTTGGTTGACTGTGCAGACAGTTTGGCCTCACTTTTACGTATCACTGCCACCCGGTATCTACAATGGTTCACTGGGTGGACTCTGTGGAAACTACAATGGTAACTCACATGACGACTTCCGCACACCCAATGGCCTCCTGGTCAACAGCTCTCAGTGTTTTGGAGACAGCTGGCGAGATGGCTCCTCGCTGCACACTTGTGGAAAGTGTAAATGAAAATTTCGTACGAACAATTCCAATTCCAGTGAGCGCTGTGGCATTATTGCCTCACCGAATTGGCCGTTTACCCAGTGTTGGGCCATGGTGGGACCCACAGGCAGCTGTGAGTGCATGCATGGAGACCATTAGAGTCTCTAGAGATCCAGCATCAGCACTATGTGAGGTCCTACGTGATTATGCTCTAATGTGTCAAAAGAAGGGCGTAAGCTGTGGACACTGAGGAAATAACTGGCTGTGGTAAGAACTTGCCCTTCTTTTAGATGAAGTTTGATATGGTATAAAGCTATGTAATGACCTTACTTTATCAACCTGTATGTTCTTCTTTAGAGCACACCTGCCCACAAACAGCCATTATGAACTCTGTGAAGCACTTGTCCTCCACCTGCCCCCGCCTTTCCTTTCCCTTCTCCTGTAAACACTCTGTGCCAGGATGGATGCCAGTGTGATGATGGTTTTGTTCTCAATGGCAACCAGTGCGTGCCACCCAACATTCGTGGATGCCATCAAGAAAGGACGCTATCGAGCAAAGGTGGCAACAGTTCTGGATGGTGAGTATGCCAGAGCTTCTGTACCTGCAACGCACAACAGGGACAGTCCACTGTAATCCCAGCTCCTGTTGGTCCCAGGAGTCCTGCCGTGTGGAGGGGGTGAATTTGGATGTCATCCAAACCCTCATGGCACCTGCTCGGCTTCTGGAGACCCCCACTACCTCACATTTGATCAAAAGGCTATGACTTCCAGGGAACCTGCCGCTATGTGTCTGGCGACCCTTTGTAAGACACTAATGGACTCCCCCACTTTTCAGTGGAAGCTAAGAATGAGCGTGGGTTGGGTTTGACAGTCTCAATCACGGCTGAAGTTTTGTGAATGTGTTGGATACCGAGTGCGTGTGTCAAGGGACAACAGAGGTATGGTAGAGGTTGAGCTGAACCATTTCTAAACCATTACTGATATTTTTCATCTTAGGAAACAAATATCTTTATAGTAAAAAAAAAAAAAAAAAAAAAAAAAAAAAAAAAAAAAAAAAAAAGAAAAAAAAAAAAAAAAAAAAAAAAAAAAAAAAAAAAAAAAAAAAAACCCAGAATATAGGGCTTTGTATCTTAATTGTAGTCATTCAACACTATTTCATAATATAATTTCAAAATGTCCTTGATGTCAGTATCAATGTTGTTTGCTTGTACCTAGAAATCCCCTGTCCAGCCAACAGCCACTTTGAGTCCCAAGGCACAGGATGTCCAGCTACCTGTGTCAATCCCAATTCCACCCAAAACTGCCCTCTCCCTGCCCAGGAGAGCTGCATCTGCAATTCAGGCTACATCCTCAGTGCTGGGGTCTGTGTCCCTCATGCTGAGTGTGGCTGCAGCTTTGAAGGTCGTTACTACCGCTCTGGAGAAACTGTAATACTAGACGAGAACTGCGGGAGACGTTGTAGCTGCAGTTATGGCTCCATGACCTGTCACTCACATGGTTGTGGTCCACTGGAATCATGCAGGGTGGAGGAGGGAGAAAGAGGATGCAGACCTAACAGCTATGAAACATGCTGGATAAAGGGCCTGGGGTCATATCATACGTTTGATGGACTGACATTCCAGTATCCTGGGGCATGTCGATTGACTCTTGCCAAAGTGATGGGATTGTCTCATCACCCCCACTTTGCAGTGACAGCAGAGAAAGTGCCTAGGCCCTCCATCTCCAAGACAACTCCTGTAAAGGCACTCTCCAGGACGGGCGACTGTTGTTCCACTTTAACAATGACGAGCAGCTGTGTGGGACAGTTCTCAGGGTACAGTCCATTACACTATAATGTTATCAGTTCAGATGGAGCAAGATTTTGTATCATGCAAAGATAATCAAGCTTGTCTTTTCAATTTTAAGAGCAATGGAACCCATTTCATCTATGAGAACATGATCCAGGGCGATGTGGACCCTCATGACGGTCTAATCAGCCGCCAAAGGAACATCCATCTGCGTTTCTGCTGTGAATACCCTCTGACTCAGGCCCTGTCTATGTCTGTGGGCATCAATCCTTTAGAGAGGTGACAAAACCATCTCCTCTACATGTTTTATTTAACCAAATACATCACTTAGGTGTTGCTAACTAAATCTAAATTCCTACATTCCTTTTTACATTGAACTTGAAGTCATGAAGTCATATTATGTGTTTTTTTTCACAGCATTGTGAGGAAGAAGCTTCCAAATGGCCATGGACAGTATCACATGAGAATGATCCCCTACCAGGACGCTGGCTTCAGCTCCCCCCTGACCGGTGACAGCAACATAGAAATGGAAATAGACCAGAGGTTGTATGTGGAGGTGCGGACAGAGGGAATTGATGAACGGCAGATCTCCACCATTCTTGACTCTTGTTGGGCCACGCCAATCAACAATGCGAACTACCCTGTCCGCTGGGATCTCATCAGTGCAGAGTAAAGGAGCTACTGCAACTTCACTTTATCTTCACATTGATTTCTTTCTCTTCATTGCCAAAGTATGAAAACAATTTAAAGTACATAACACTCTAACTTCTACCACCCTCCTTGTTTTCCAGGTGTCCTAATCCAGCAGATGATACAGTAGAGCTGGTTCAGAATGGCGTCTCCACTGCGGCCAGATTCTCCTTCAGGATGTTCACCTTTACCAACTTTTCATCCATCTACCTGCACTGCCAGGTCCACCTGTGTCTTCTGTCAAACAACAACTGCACAGCTGTACGTACCACTGTGTGTGTGTGTGTGTGTGTGTGTGTGTGTGTGTGTGTGTGTGTGTGTGTGTGTGTGTGTGTGTGTGTGTGTGTGTGTGTAGGTGTGTCCTTCTAAGTTTGTAGATACATTATATAGATTATCAACAGATGCATCAGCAGAAGCCTCTAATGTTGTTTTCCTGCAGCATTGCTACCCGGGTTACCACAGGCGAGTTGGGAGGGATGTATCCTACCATGACACTGCCTCCATCTCACTAGGACCACTACACCTGATCCCAAAGAGTGGTGGTAAGCCCCTCTTATTATTTTATAACTTTTGTCTCCTTGTATTTGATATACAGCTTAATCAGTGCATGTTTTTTAAACTTTGGTTCTTCTCTTGCAGGCAAAATGATGGAACGAAGCAGTGCTCCAGGCCAGATGACCTCACTGGTGACCCTGCTGGTCAGTCTGCTATTCAGTTTGCTGACTGCCAAAACTCTGGTCTAAGGAGAACAGAGATGATCCATATTTTGAAATGACTCAACATATTTCGTATGCTTTTAGATTGTATTTTTGTGTCCGAGGCCTAGTCCCTGTGATTTGTATGTGTAGTATTAATTTTGCTTTGCAACAGTAGGGGGCACCAGTGTCCTCCATGCTAAAGTTCAAACCTCTTTTCCTTTACCGTATTCACTGGGTCTGATATTTATAGATTGAATGCTTAGTTTCTTTGTGGTGATTCTTATTAAATCTCAGCCATATGATAAGTAATTATGTATAATGAAATATTACAATTATAAATAAAGTATTTTCACATTAAGGATTATGCATTTAATTTGTTGCCATGGGAAGTTTTGTATTAAACCCCAGTCCAGCCAACTGCACAGTTGTAGTGTGTATTCACAGTAAGATTGGAAGAAACAAGTTGTTTATTGCAGCTGCTGTAATTTACACTTCTTACACAGCTGAAATCTTGTAGTTTGTTTCCCTGCAGCATTGCTACCCCGGTTATCACATAAGAGCAGTGAGAGATATTTTGCAGCCATCTCACTAAGACCACTAGTCTTGAAACCAGGTAACTCTTATTAACCTCTGTATTCTTGTTATTGTTTTACTGTACATTTTAATTAATTATAAAGTTATTAACTTTACCTAACACACGATTTAAATTCATTCAGGAATAGTAATGGTTCCTGAAAAAGTTGTAATATTTTGAAATGTATCCCATACATTTCTCCTGAATCGTGCTCCTCTCTAAGAGGTTTTGTTTTAAGTTATGGTATTTTTTCCTTCGAACACTGGAGGGCAGCATAAGATCAAACACACATTACACACATTAAGCACACAGCTCACCGTTTTCTATTCAGTATGATATTTATTAGTTGTATCATCAGTGCTTTTACAATCATTAAATCAATATTTCATTAATGAAAATAATTAGTAATAAACATGTGTAATGTAGATTACCTGAGGACTCCAAAGCTGATTTACATTATTGTCTTTTTGCTGCTTTTTCTTTTGTTGCTTTTTTTGTTTTTTATAGAAATACTTAAATTTTGATCTTCTGTCTTGAAATTGCAAAGAAGCATTTAGAAATACTAAATACAAACTCTATTATGCTAACACAACATGTTCTGTACAGGGCACATAAATGTAACAATAACCACAATACAAACCATTAATACAAGATGGTTCTCATTTGACATGAAAGAAGCTGTCAGTGAAACAAGAGGTCAGGTTTCTCTCTTTTGTCTGACAGAGGCGATGTCTCCCGAGTCTTCTCTTTGGTGGTGAAATTCATCATTGTCATTCAGTATGTCCTCAGCAGTATGGGATAAGACCTACAGTAGACATAACAACACTTACCACACACCCACAACATGTAATTTGTCATTGGTGTAATGGTACAGTACAAAGACTTCAAAGAAGTGCAGTAAGTCCAATACCACATGGGCCAGTACAAAAACTCTCCACTCCACTACTGACGTATTCAGGTAAATTATGTGGAGATTACGTTACAGATCATATTTCGCATCTTTTGGCTTAATAAGAAAAAATTAAGGAGCATAATCTTGTTAACAACTGTTCATGGTGTTATGTACTACACCTATACCCAGGACATAAATGGGTTCATGATAGGCACTAAAGGACCAACACCCTCTTTATCTTGGAGATGGCATCTGATTGATCACTCTTTGTTTCTAAAGTAATAGCTTACCTCCTCTGATAATATACCACTGGGAGGTTAATCCTGTGGCTAAATGTGGCATTTGCAGGCTTCAGAGTGAGGACAATGTGTGAACATGAATGAGAGAGAAACAGACTCATTCACAAGAAATAACAAAATAACATAACTTGATATCTACAAGTCATTAATTAGCAGACATCCTTTGTTGAGAGAAAACCTCACTACAAATCTAATGTAATGCCCTGGATGTGCCTCAGCTCCACACAGGATGACAAGGCAGTTTTAGTATGAAGTTTAAAAACCTTAAAGAAAGAAAGAATAACATTTGCTTTAAAGGAAAAGGGGATCAGTTTAACGTAGTAATCCTTCATAAAAAAAAAAAGTGTACATACAGTTTGGAAAATAACTTTCCAAGATATTAATGATGGCATCAAACCAAACCAAAATCAAGTGTTCAAGCGAGACGGTCACTAAAGTCAAGATGTGCAATTGCTGTGATCTATCAATTATCTTCTAATCTTCTTCTATCATCTAACAATTAGAGAGGCATTTCACTCAAAACCAAAAACGTGAACCTCATGGCGGTGCTACAGGAAACATTAGGGCATCACCAAAGTCTCTAGAAAATTTAGTGCCAATCCACCAAATAAATGCTGAGATATATTTCACTGGATAAGTTTAACCTGAAGGTGGTGCTAGATGAAAAGTCAAGAGAAAGCCACCAAAGTCATTAGGCTTCATCCTCTGGGAACCATAAATGTCTGCACAATGTTTCATCTATCCAATGGTTGTTGAGATATTTCAGTTTACACCTACGTGGTGTAATCGACCATCAGACTGACATTAGTGTCGTTTCCATTGCAGTTTAGAACAAATTAGAAGCGATTTTTAAGAAAAGTCAAAACATAAAAGCAAATTGTATGTGTTTCCATTGAGGGATGTTAAGATGTGTTTTTCTCCTCTCACTATATCATTCCAACTAAACATGGCGACAAATTTCAAACATTGGGGGCGATGATTTTGCTTAGATTTAGCGCAATAGTTGTTGTAGTATTTAATCGAAGGCGATGAGGGCCTTGTCAGATAGTCTGAAAAATCACCTCCTGTGCCCATTTTGGTTTTTTTTGGTTTTTTTGCAACATTTGAGAGTTCCTTTTTCTAAATTCACATTTCCATTACTTGTTTTTTAGTTTGCTATTTCAAATTGCTCATTTAGCTGGTTAATGGAAGTGCGGCTATTGTCATATAGCTACACGCCAAGCATGGACAAAAATGCTAAAGAGACGGGCTAACAGTGGCTAACCCTGATTAGTATTTGGGAAATCTTTACCCTCAAGTTCAAAAGTATAACGTATCCTGCTAAAATGGATGTGGCCTTTGAATCCATCCCTAATCTCTTTCTTTTTACTCAGTTCTTTTCTTCCACTCATCTGCTCTGTATCTAATCGAATTAAGTAAATGCAGTTCCTGAAGCTTCACAGATTTTGTCTCACCTTTCTGAACCCACCCACATATGTCAGATCTAACAACATCCATATGTGGCGAGTCATACTTTATCTTTCATTCATAAACTGCTGCCATACAATCAATTTATCCCTCTCAACTTGATGTAGTGAGCTGCTGAGTGAACTGCCTTAAATGATGGCTTAAAGAAACAAACAAAGTGGCACATGTCTTTAAGTGGAGGCTCCTCTCAGAGTTTTCTTTTGTTTTGCTTTAAATCTCTTTATCTGCATCATCCTTGCCAGGATCCGATTTCCTGGCAAGGATTCTCTACCAAGCAAGTTTGAGCTATCAAACCATCTTGAATACTCATCGCAGTGCCACAACAGGGGAGTTTGTAGCCTCAGGAAGGAAGTAAGGAAGGGGGACAGAATGAAGGGAGAGAAGGCGAGGATGGTGGATGGGGAAAAGAGGGAAATATGAGTGACAGCTTGTTGACTTTTACAAGATGTTGAGGGCTTAGTTGGCTAAATTGGATTCTCTCATAAAGTCCCCAGTGTGGTGTGCTGGAGGGGTCAGGAATGGTCCTGTCTGACGTTTGACCTCTCCGCATGCTGCCCCTCATGTCAGCAGCACTGACCACTACACACTGCAGCTCACAGCATAATTACATCTGAATCGTTACATCTTAGTCCATTTGCGCAAGACTCCAGCCTCTGGGATTCTTCATGAAGAGAATATTGATATAAAACAAGTTTTAATGAATAGAAGTTTCACTTTGTGGTTAGGAAAACAGCCATATTATCCACTGATATTCAACAAATCCTATTTCCCACTAAGAATTCCCCCCAACATCCCCACTATACATTTGAGTGTATTTGCTGCAAAGACATGATGACGTTATGAGGATGATGGATTATTTTGTTTCATTTCAGGAAAATTCCCTCGTTGTTGTTTGACTTTCCCTGTGTGTTCCTCTGCCACTTTAAGAGAGCAGGAGACAGGTACACATACACTAATAATGTGAATGTGAATTCCTGTGGGCACACCTGTTGTTTCTATCCTTTGTGAACAGACATTCATGGGAAAATATTTTGTTGTAGCTTTTTCTTGTTGTTCACAAGGCCTTTTGTTTTGATAGGACCGTTCTTGATAAAGACAAATCCGGCCATCTACAGTTTCTGTCAAGAGTAATTAGATTTCCCTGGTGAATTCTATACTCCTGAGAAGGCCGGACAGTCAGGGGACTGTAGCTGCAACCCTAGAAGTCATGAAATTGACTCAGCAAACCATGTGTGAAAAATCAGCACTTCATAAAGTCAAATATATATTATGTACCATGACTTGAGCCATGCTGTGTTCTTCTCTTAGATTTTCTGTGACACTTTTACTGTCCTGAAAATTACATCTCACAAGAATGAAATTCATGTTTTTTAAACACTATATTGTGTGTTTCTGCATCGTTACACTAATGTCTTCCATTCAAAGTGAAATACAGTAAAAAACAAAATGTAATCATTGTGTGTGAGCCCCTCATAGTTAGATATAATAACTATTACGTTATATGTGGTCATTCTTATACTGTACATTAATTAATTCCATAAAAAAATCCATTGCAATAAAACTGTGATGATTATGAATTATGTGGTCTGTGACATGCTGTTTCCATCAGCCATCCATTTGAAATATTAGATAAGAGGTTTACCAGAGGGCTTCCTCTCGCCATCTGGTTCTGCTGTCAACCCATGACTGCTTCCTTTAGCCCTTAGATCTACAGTACATCTTTTTGACTCGCCAAAGATTTGTAACATCCTAAAAAAGCATCTGGGCATTTTGCTTTTTTGTGTCTTTCCCCTTCAAAAATATTCTTACCAAACCAGTGAGTGATATTAAATAAAATTTGTGT